TGTGAACCTTTCATCAAAGGCTCTGAATTCGCGTTGTGCTGTGTGTAGACGTACTCTTGAGCACTATGAATGAAAGCACATTGATGATCAAATTAGTGTGCAAATTGGATATGTTTGTCAGTAAATGCGAGTCTGTTGCAATATTTAACTGATAAAAGATAAGGTAACATAAAAGTGACAACCTTCTAGGATACTGCACCATGTATACTCATAGAACTCATAGAACTAACTACATGGCGCAGTATGCCAGAAGGCTATCATTTTCATACTTGCTGTGTGAACTTGAAGTCTTACTGAGATAAAATAGTTATTAAATTGTTCTAACTCTTTAAGGTCTTCAGTAAAATTTTAAACTACAGGAATTTCAGGAAGTTTATGTTCATTTTCAGTGTCTTCACGTAGCTCTTGCTATATATGTGATATTTGAATTGTTAAGACAATTTAACATTTGTTTGTAGTACAAGATTTTGATTGTGGTCATCCACATTGTGATGCAGTGTAGTCCTGTAAGTGGTTATACTGAAAGATGGAGGTGAAACGTTGGTAACCACCTACAAGACTACACAGTGCCACAACCCAGAAGACCACAGTTGACATCTTCATCACCATGAGAACCTGTAACCTCGGACTGTATGAGATTGCTTGGATTATTTTGCTTATCCTTATCTAAGAAGCAAGAATAATACGAACATCAAAACTTAATAACAACATATTGACACCATTAAGAACTCACTGTATATTGTGCATATTGTAAAACAGATTAGTCTTGTCTTTCTATTTTGTCTCTTGATATATGCTTACCTGCATTTGATAAAAGGTTGTATTACATGGTAATGTTATTATAGCAGCATGGGACTTGATGTTTGTGACATGTGTGGAAAATCCCTTTTGTGATAAGATAATAGAAAATAGATTTGACTGTAATATATTGGTATGTGGTTTGATCTCGTTAGCTGATATTTGACAAACTTCACATTTGGTATGAAAGTAAAAACAAATAAAAAATATGTATAAAGCAAAAGGTTTTTATGATGTAATTTTGTTTATTATTTTAAGTCCATGTGTATTATAATGTATATAATTTTTAATATACATGTCTTGTATTGAGATGCAGCTATTTTGTATTCCAATCCAGATCCCTATATTATTCATTTGTTGCTAGCATATAATATGTTTTATATCTAATCAGCTAAGAAGTTAAGAAGTTTAACTTTAAAATTTTCTCTTCAAATACACTTGGCTTTGCCTGTAAGTTTCATTAATCCATCAAATCTGCTACTCATAAATAACCTGAGGACATAGGAGAACTAATTAATGCTATGGAGCAGAGTTTTTGAGAAGCTAATAGTTGCTCAGATTTTTGCTGCCAGAACA